TTTCTTCCATCTTTATTTTAAGTCTAATTTTTCCTCTTTTCATGTTGCTACCAGAGAAGAGAGAAAGAAGGAAAAGCAAACACGAAGAAAATAAAGTAAAAATTAAACTCTATTCCTGCACTTGAGAACAAAACAATACTTTGGGGCTTTAAAAAACAATTTTCATTCAGTGAGGAACTGAATTCAATTTTAATCTGGTGAAAACTGAATTTCCTGCTTATCTTTCATGCAGGTATAATGCTTTACAGTAACATTTTCAATCAAACAGGAGAGGGGGAAAAAAAAAAAAAAAAAAAAAAAAGGCACCTTGATTCGTAAGAGCTGTTTCCTGACAGCTCCCAAAGGCTGCTGGAGTGCTTGCAAAAAGCTGCTGACCACGAAAGGGACTCTAACGGCTCTCACTGCACTTGTCTTTAGCTCTCATATCTCTGAAACTCTCCTGAGTGCAGTCCAAATCACAAAAAACCTAGATTTGTACCTCCACTTCCCCAGCAGAATAAACCCAAGATGTAGGGAAACCATTGTAAAGCTAACAGAAAATTTAACACTATTGAAATTATTTAATTTATAAAATAAAAGTATATACCGTCTACTTGGGTATTCCCTTTTCAAAGACAGAAAAATAGGCCAAACCCAGCATGGAGCACAGCTCAACCGACATCCACAGCTAGCAGCAGAATAAACCTGCCCCAGTAGCCACGCTACCGAGTTACGAGTGCGACTGGCCCCTCAATTCATGTTTTCCAGCTCCATTTTCTCTTGCCTCGAGATGCCCATCGTTCTGTCCACAGTAGCGTGGGCAGCAAAAGGAAGACCAAAAGATGACTGCACTGGCCTGAAACCTTGGTCCCCAGCAAGTGCCTCAAAGCTCCGTGGTGCCCCTGTAAAGCTTCCAAGCCTCCTGGAGATCTGACTTCAGGATACAGTTTTTCGGAAAAACAACTTTTTATTGCACGGTTAGTAGCATCAGGAACACAATGGTGGTATTGATCAGAAAATAAGCAGAGCTTTAGAATCTGCTTAAAAGAGGTTTGAGATAAGTCTCTAATTATACAGAGTTTAGCTATGCCCTCAAGATTTTTAAGACTATACAGCTCTCTACAGCAGGCATTTTGAACCACATGGCCAAATCAAGCCACAGTTGACAGACACTGAACCTGCACAAAGGTGTTGTCCCTTTTTTTAGTGGCCAGCAATTTTGGTGAGTCCCAAATAAAGGCTAATCTAACCTTTCCGAAAGATGACTGTTTATATTCTTAAAGAGGCATCAAGCCCGGCAGCAAAAGCAGATGCCTGCTCTCCCACAACAATTTCCAATCATCCTGCAAGAAGAGCTGGCAGAAGTTGTTTTTTGTCCGGAGACTTTTTGCAAAGCAAAGAGCCTACCTTGATTCAGAGCCTGTTTTTCCCTGCAGTTCTCCCAGTGCCGTGACTCCACACCACCGGCAGGAACCCCTTGTCCGGCACCTGCAGAAAGGCCAGGCTTGTGGCACCGTGGAGTGCTACAGCAGCAATGTTGCCCAAAATCATTGCTCCTCTGCATAGGTCTCCCTTTCCCTCTCTCAATAGCAGCTGCTATTGAATTCACCTGACCCAAAGACAGACTATTTGTTTCACTTTCTTTCTGCCTCTTCTAAAGTACCAATTTGCAGAGGAACCTGTAATCAGATGGACTCAAGCCTGCCGTGACATCTCCAGCACACAACCTCCTCTGCCCCGGTGAAAATCCCAAATCACACTGCTGAGAACAACCAGATGCCTTCTCCGAGAGGCACAGCAAACCTAAGGTAATGACTCAATAGCTTAGCTCACATTGCAGATGAATTCATTTAATCCTCTTGCTTAACACAAGAAACAGCAAACACTGTGCAGAAGGAGAGCATTAATCAGTAATTTCTTGAACAGGCCTGAAAACAACAATCTGCTGAGTAAAATGGTGCAGCATCCCAAGAGTTAATGCCATTTAAGAAAGCATGCAGTGGAAACCCTTGGAGGAGTTAGCTTAGTAATTAGAGTGCAAAACCCCAGTTGGGTGACAGCCAGCAGTGGCGCTAGCAGACATGTCACTGCCGCCCCACGGGTCACCTACCGGCAAAATATCTTTATGCTTATGAACATGGTAAGATAAAACCCAGGGCAGGCCTGAGGTCTTGACTGTTCCCAGATATTACGGCGGGGGGGGAATCACTACTTTTGAAGTGTTTTCTGGACCCACACTAGAGCCTCTCATTTCATTTATTGATTAAGAAGAACCACTGAACAGAGAAATCATTCCTTGGAAAAAAAATAATATATTTTTTTGCCTCTTAAAACCAGCAAACTGAATTTCTGGGAAAGATCAGAAGGGTTAACCCAGAAGAAGGAAGGAAATATCGTCACCCCCCTTCTTAAGAGCTGCCGGTGCGGGGTCGGTCTGGCGGCAGAAGCCGCCAGCGAACTACCGCTGCGCTGCAGGCACTGCTGGGCTCCAGCGGGGCCACCCGGGGCTGCGGATGCCCCCCAAAACGGGGTCGGGGGGTGGTGGCGGTGGGTGTCCGGGATGGGTACCCCGTCCCTGCCTGCGCCCCCGCTCCGGGCCCGCCGAGCCGCCGACAGGTGGCGCCGTTGCGCCGCGGTGCCGTGCCGTGCCGGGGAGGGTAGTGGTGGTGTGTTCCCCCCGCCCTCCTTTGAGGGCCATCAGAAGTGGCATTTCCTAGGGAAAAAGAACCCCATCCTTTTAAAGAATTTCCTATTTTTAAAAAAGGACCGTAAACTTTTTTTTTTCCCCCTGGCCAGGAGCGCAAGGATACAGGAGGCTCAGGCTGCCAACTAAAAAGCCCGGCAGGTATCTCCCTGCCGAGGCACAGGCTGGAGCTTGTCCCCCCCCCACTCTTCTTGCGTGAAGGACTTGAAGATTTTTAAATAAAAGCGCCTTGTGAGTAAGACGAGTCCCCCATCACACACAGCCCCACTGCCTCTCACTGCTTACGAGTCGTTTAAAGGCAAACTGGATGCTTGCATCCTTTTGTCCACTTGAAATCATAGAATCACAGAATGGTTAAAGGTGGAAGGAACCTTGAACATCTCATCTAGTTCCAACCCCTGCCATGGGCAAGGGCACCTCCCACTAGACCAGGTTGCTCAAAGCCCCATCCAGCCTGGCCTTGAACACCTCTAGGCATGGAGCACCAAAACTTCTCTGGGCAACCTGTTCCAGTGTCTCACCACCCTCAGAGTAAAGAATTTCTTCCTAATATCTAATCTAGATCTACCCTCTTCCAGTTAAAAGTCATTCCCCCTCATGCTATCGCTACATGCTCTTGTAAAAAGTCCTTCCCTAGCTTTCCTGTGGCCCCCTTTAGGTACTGGAAGGGGCTATAAGGTCTCCCTGGAGCCTTCTCCAGGCTGAACAACCCCAACTCTCTCAGTCTGTCCTCATAGGAGAGGTGCTCCAGCCCTCTGATCATCTTTGTGGCCCTCCTCTGGACCTGCTCCAACAAGGGGTCCAAATGAAGCTCTGCGTGTTTATACACACACTGGGTGGGGTGCACAGGGTGGTTTTGGGGTGCAGCTGGCAGCAACTCCAACCCAACAGTGCCCGGAGCTGGATTGCTGTGATAGTACAGTGCTACTGATCTGTGAGATGGGACCTGCACGTTTGCACAGAGGACGAACAAGAAGGACCAGTGAAACATGTGTGGGTCATGCTGACAGCCTGTCCCACACTCCCAGTACCTTCCCAGTTAGATAAGGGAATAAACACAACACCCACCTGCAACGCTACACACCTAGCACAACATACCTTTTTGGGGGGACCCTTTACATCCATCCACATTAAAAATAACAAAACAAAAAAAAGGAAGATGAAATTTAAAGAGCAGGTTCTGACATTGAGATTCTAGTGGTGATCAGCAGCACCTCCACCCGGGCCAAGAAGGGAAAGGTCTTGCCTCCATCCTCAATGGCTGCTTCAGAGAAAGCAGTAAGAGAGCTGGCAGCCGGGAAGCTGCAAGCTCACATGGGGGCTTCCCTTCCGACCCGCCGCTGGAGGTTCGCTGAGCCTTGATGCCACAGCATTTACCTTTGCCGGTCTCATTCCCAAGTCCACCAGGCTCTTGCTGATTCTGCAGGGGCTACAGCCATAGAACGGAGTCCTGCTGTGCCCTGCACGCAAAGGCCGTTGCTGCAGTCAGGGGTCAATACACCCCTTGCCACGGCACTGCTCTGCCTGCCACTCTGCCAGCCTGAGAAACAGCGAGACCCTCCCCAAAACTGCTGTCCTCATTCAAAAAAAGCTCTCTTTCCAGCACCCAGCTCGTTACTCTCGTCTCGGATATGAACAAACTCCTCCTGCAGCGAGGCAGTCCCTACAGCCGGGCAGCACCACGTTCCCGGCATGGCACGTTTTACAGCACAAGAGCTGGTTGCATGGGGTAGGGCTTCCAGTTCTGTGTCTGCTTGGGTCCTTTCCCAGAGTTACCGAAACCGCTTGCTTTACAGCAGTAGCGAGAGGGGTAAATTTAAGAGAGTTGTAGCATGCCAAGCAGATAGGGGGATTATTTCTACTCCATGGCTTCCCAATGCCACACACACACACTGCTTTAAGAAATCCCTTAGAAAATGGCTGCTTCAAAATAACCTATATGCCTCACTGGCCCTAGAGACGACACATGATGAAATGCCCTTACAAAATGAATCCCTACGTGTCTGGCCTAGCAGAGCATCCAAGTACACAGGAAAGCCAAGACAAACACAGCACTACTCTCTCCTGAAAACGTACGTGGTTTGAAAAATCTCCACTGTTGTTCTATCCCAGAAAATGATTCACCCTCCCCGCAGGGTTTTGACTCGCCTCTGCACGTTTCGCAATGCTGCCTGGCTTTATAACAGCGTGGTTGCACGCGGTGACTCCTAGCAGATTTCTCGGCTCGGTTGCGAGCGAGGAGGCAGCAGCTAATCCGCTAACAATGATTTTCCTCTTGCAGCATTTCTTCTTGCTGGCCACAGACTTATTATTCGCGATGACCCTTTCCTGCCTCTTTTATGCCTTTGCATGCATTTCTATCGCATTTCTGACCTGCTTCACTATCATCTTCTCCTTTGGCATTGTGGAGAGGAATACTGATGTGAAAGGGAGAGCAATTGTAATTCTCGTGTCCAACAGCTCCATTGGGAGGATGTTTGCGAGGAATCTGGATAAAGCAGGTTTCAGGGTGTCTGCTGCACACTGGCCTCCTCGAGAGGAAGGGACAGCTACCAAAGAAGAGTGCTCTTCAAGCACGGAAGTAGCCCAGCTCCACATGACTGAAGACGAGTATCAGAAGACAGTGAAAACCTTCATAGAAAGCCACTTATCCCTGAAAGGTAATTTTTGGGGAAAACTTGTAGATTGTGCCTGCAGTAGAAATCAAAATGCACAAGATTGTGAGATCGTTGTAGTTCACCAGCAAATGAGGGAGGCAAGAATGCTTTAAGAAATGGGTTGTAACACTGTAACTGCATCACATTTTGTTGTGCAAAACAAAAAACTTCTGCTTTTTCCAGGGTAAAGAGCCTGCTCTGGTGGCTCTGAAAGACCCCAGTAGACCCCATTCCCTGGAGGAAGGCAAGGTAGGCCAAGGAATGAGGTGGAGAAGGTCCCACCAAGTCACAGAGGGCTGGATTCACCCTGGGCAGAAAACAGGGGTGAACAAGGGGGAGCAGAGACTCGGATAGTGACCCAAGGATGAAGGAATGTGTCCGATTTGTAATCTCTTCTGGATGAAAAAAAAAAAACTGAGGTCCCTCTTGGCTTCTTGCCTGCTGTGGGATTCACAAGAAACAGTCAAGTCAGAGCTTTGGCTGGCAGGTTGGGACGGTCTCTCTGAACCACGCTGCTGTCATTTCTGTGGGGATATGGGACTGAAAGCAACCTGCAGAGCTCACCTGGGACAGCATGAGGCAAGTGTCCTACTGAGGGGGTGGCTGTAAGCACTTCTACCAGGGAATCTCCCCGGCTCTTTCTAGGTGTGAGATGAAGGGTGCTGATGGGCAGGCTGGCTTACGCCCCAGCTGAATTAGCTCTGCTATCCAGGAGTCTCTATTCTCACAGCCATAATTTTAAACCTCTTGGGAGCGACAGAAAATTCAGCCCCAGCCATCAGGGCTGTAACCTCACTGCCCACAGGGCTACGGGGTTACAAGAGAAGTGGCAAACCCTCTCCTCCACTGTGAACCTACTTAAGGCACATCTGAGCTGCGAAGTAGCTCTCACTGCTTCCCCATACTGCCTCCTTCCTTCTCCAGCTTCTCCATCCCTCTTCTCCTTCCTCTCCTCTCTGTGGTTTCTCTGAGGCTCCCTTTGAGGTCTCCCCAGGAGAGCCGAGATCTCTGAGAGCATCCACCTCTCACCATGACAAATAACGAGACCCTTTGCATTGCTGCCCAGTACTGAAAGTTTTCTTTGTGCTCCCAGGCTCTGCAGAAGGAGGACATTTGGGAAGTCAGAGCATGCACCACGAAGCCTCCCCTACTGCAGACATCCTTCAGAGAGGCGGTAGGGAACCCTAGCCAACACCCGCTGCTGGCTGCAGCTACTCAAGACCCAATGGCACAGGTTATCTCACATGACTTTTCTCCTCAGAAGCATCCAACAGACCAGAAGTGCCTGCGGTCAGATCCTGTGTGACTCTGCATGGCCCAGGATGCATCCCCCCCATTCACTAGCAGCCTGCAGGCTCCAGGAACGGGTGCCCTGCACACCAACAGAGGGTTTCAGACCAAACGCTCAGCTGCCTGCGTGAGCATTTAAGCTAATTTATGCTAGTAAAGTTATTCTGACAAAACCTGCCTGCATGGACAGGGCCTAAAAGCTCACAAAGCTGAGTATTAGCATACTCCTGCTCTGGAAACCAACAACGGAGACTTTCTTAACCAGTAATGCTCCATGGGAGCTGGTGATTTCCATGGGCCACTGCTGTTTTAATTAAATGAGGATCTGTCCCAGTGATATCTGTCTTTTTGCTTCTGAATATTTTGATCACTGTGCTAGTTACAAGCTTTTGCAAGTCCTTTTTTTAAAAAAAAAAAACCAAAAAACAAACAGGGTACTCTATTGTAGGATCTGTGAAGTTTTACATTTACGATCTCCTGCATAGTATTCACATCACAGATGGGGATGTTAAAATGTTATTTCCCAAGCGCTGACCCAATTGCATGGCAGATCAAAGCACTGTGTCGGGGGCGTGGGAGAGGAAAATAAAAAAAAAAAGAAAAAGAAAAAAAACAAACCTCACAGTTTTCTTGGATTTCTTTGTTAACAATTTCAAGTGAGTGCTGGTACTTCTTCTGCAAGATTTGCTGTAATATTTTTGGCATGAGCTGGGTGAACATGAACACCTGCCACCAGCTGACTGATAATAAACCAACTGAAACAAAATCAAAAGACTACATTGGTAGGTCCTCACATGCAACATGCGGTTTAGTCAGCAGGATCTGGACAAAATGGAGAAGAGAGTTTGTTCTGTAGGGACAAGACATGGCAGAACCATTATACAATTTTCTCCATTTAAAAATTTCTCTTACACACTTTGTTTGCACGCAATTTTTGGTTTCCAAAGCAAGGAACTTCTGTGCTAGTTTTTATGATTTTTTTCTTAGTAACTTGAACCCACAGGAAATTTTTACCATATCTTCACTAGTGTAAGTAAAAAGACGCTTGTTTGCTATAAACACAGCCTTTGAAATGCATCCTAAATGCCTTTCAAAGTAAGACAATGAAGACAAACCCCTAGTCACCGTTCCTTCTAGAATTAAAAGACTTAGGACAATTAAAATGACCTATTTTTTATTCTAGTACAGGCCCAGAGACCCAAATTTTCAGGTAGATTAACACGCTTATTTTGTCGTGGCAGTACAAATGAATAAGGTGCTATTAGGTCTGAAGAGATTGTAATACAAAGAGAGAAATGCAAGTCAGTCCCCTTCCAAATTTATAATATGTTTTGTGGTAGCTTAACTTGGTTCATGAAAAGTCTTGGATTCTTGTGGCTTTTAGCTTTTGGTGCCTTTAGATCAGATGTTTGACCTCCTGGTCACAGAGCAAATTTAGAGAGATAGGGTAGAAAAAGGGGAGAGAAGGAGTCTTAATTGCTCACCTCCAGTAGCTGTGCTTGTACTGTCAAACATTGCAAGAGCTCTTGGCATTGTGTCCAAGCGCTCTGGGATGAAGCTGCTTGAGAAATTGCTGTACCGTGTTGCTCTTTGGGCACGTTGCCTGGAAATGCTGGCAATTGCTTCATGATTTTCAGGATTGACTGCAGCAAGGGTGGGGCAGGGCAAGGAGGAAAAAATGTGGAGATGGGCAAGACCCAACAGACAGCAACCTGACCTGACTCAAGAAGAGTTCAGACAACCAGAGTGCCGGTCCAATTAATTGCTGTAGCCGCAGTACCTCAGGGTTCGCCTAATCACACACACAAGTACGGACACAGGGCTAAGGAGAAGCAGGATTTACTGCACCATGCCCAAAGACTGGGTGCCATGGACTTTGCCAAGAAGAGCAAGCCCCAAAAAGCCGGCAAGTGACCCTGCTCTGCCAGTCTGCAGAGTTCAGCTCCCCGAATTAAACTGCCAGCTTAAACCACTGTTTCACATCTAGTCTCAGCCTACTCATGGTTTAGAGATTATTTGAACTGTGTTTTTTCTTTAGCTGCACCCAAAACACTTCCAGTGTCTTGAGAGATCCTGTCTGCTCCTTTTGCTGTCTTTAATGTCCCTCAGGTCTTTGCACACCAGGCTGAGCTCTCCCAAACTTTATAACATCTGTGAGTCTGTAGGTCACCGCTGAAGTGCATAGAGCAGCCACGATGGCAGAGCACTTGAGGGACCTGCCACCCTTCCCTCCTACCCTTACTCCAGGGACTACTCAAAGTTGGTTTCCCACTACCCTGACAACACTTTTCTCCACTCTTTCTCTCCCACTCCTCGCAGTATTTCATACTGTACTACCACCCATCACTTCATCCCGCTTGTTTCCACCTAGTTTCCCTTTCCTTGTTTTTCTTCTGCTCCCCTGTAATGCCTCAGGTTTCTGCAGGGCAGATAGTACTTGAAGCGAGCGATGCCTCTGGCTGCACAACACAGCCTCCCTCTGTTCATTCAGATCTCTGCCATGCTGAAGTTGCTTGTTGTAGTGCTGCTGATTTTCACAGGATCGGGACTTCACTTCTTGTTCTCAAATCTCAGCTAAGACATGACCACTGGTAGATTCTTTGGTACTTTATCAGCTTCCCTCTGTCCCTATCTGTTAAACAGGAAGGACAATACTTTTTCATAAGTAGAGGAATAACTGATGCAAATTAATAATTTGAATTGCTAAATAATCTTAGGTCCCACATCTGAAAGTCTTTCTCACCCTCCACTTTGCCATGGTGTTTCAGACCAGCGGGAAGTGCTTGTTCTCAAAACTTTGTTCTGAGGACACCAAAGGGTCTGTAGAAAGCTCCCTGTGCCGACAGCTAGACCAGTGGGAGATAATGGACTGTCATCCTTGGCCATCTGTTCTCATCCCCATGATGCTGCTGGCAGAGAGGCTCTTATGACCTCTTCCTAAGTCAGTCCAGGCAAGGTCACCTACATCATTTAATCAATTTAAATAGGTTGGTTTAGTTAATCCAACTGATTACTTTCTTCTATACATCAGGGACACTCATGCAATCTCTTCTTTGAGCAGAGCTGTCATGGCAGTAACACCAGCAGTGGCAAGAATAGCTAATCCTGGGCAAGAATGGGCACACACAGCTGCGGCTGCTTGCTCAAAGCTGTGTACCGAGACACTGGCAGAACTATAGAGCGTGCTGAAGCATCAAGACCTTTAGCAGCCTCATGGCCTCTTGGACAGCCTCCACCTCTTCTAAAGGTCAAGCTGTTTTTTCTTTTCTGTTCTGCAGTAGGTAGCAGTGATAGATACTCTCCTGGTGTTTTCATCTGCCTTGCACCTCTCCCTCAACATCCACCTACTTTGGTTAGTCATACAGTTTAGTCCATGGAGGCACTCTTGTGACTGAGATCCAGAAAACGAGACCTTACAGTGCGCCTGAACAGGAGACAGACGTTTAAACGGCTCCCTTGTGTGGTGGAAACACTGTAGAAATTCTTTTGCTTCCTACACATGCCAGTGTGGTCAATCAAATTATTTTATTAGAAGGTACTCCTTCCTCACTCGCTTGTCTGTGCTACAGTCACCTCAAGATAAAAGGCTAGGCCGTACAGTCATTCCTAAACCCACAGCAGCGGGAACGTTCAGCTTTCTTTTGCAACAGTATAGCTTAGTGCATGGCACAAGCAAGGAAGAGTCACAACCACCCGCCATTCCCACTCACTTC